CCACACACCCCACCCCCCAGCGGATGTCACCCTCCTGGCCCAGACATCCGGATCTGCCCTGCACTGCCTCCTGCTCATTCTTTGCTCAACACGCCAGCAGCCTCACTCCAGGGCTGGGAACAGGTGTGGGCTGTGGGGTCAGATCCAGTGTGCCGTGGGAGGTGGCAGGGCCTTGGGGGCCAGGTGGGTGTCCACAGGTCCTACGACTAGACCTCAGAGGCACACTGGAGCAGCAGGGCAGCCTAGGTGACCACGGCTACCACCGCTGTGAGTGGTGCCCAGATCCCTCGCAGCTGTCTCAGGGCGGGCACACCAGCAGGCGGGACGTGGTGGGACAGAGGCAAAGAGTGTGCACTGCTCCAGAAGGCTGGGCCTGTGACCCAGAGCTCTGGGAGGCTGAGGCAGGAGGTTGCAGGGTGGAGACCCGCTGGGAGACAGTAAGACCTGTGTCCAAATAAAAACAAATTTGAAAAGGGCCGAGGATGTAGCTTGGTGCAGGCTTGGGTTTAATCACCATTAGAGGAGACAGACAGACAGACAGACAGAGAGACAGACAGAGAGAGAGACACAGAGAGAGAGACAGAAAGACAGAGACAGAGAGCGCTATATATCCCCCCACAGAGACAGAAACAGAGACAAAGATAGAGGGAACATGAGGAGGACAGACGGTCGGATGAAGGAGCAGCTCCGCGCCTCCCTTCTCTGCTGAGCTGCTTTGTGAGTTTTCCTAAGGCCCCGGGGCTACTCAGGCGCTGACCCCCGCGCAGATATTGTTACATAAGGCACTTTCCTCAAGCAGCCCGAAATAGCACGCGAGAGGGTGAAGGAAATCAAGTAGCGCCTCCGCGCATGCGTGGTCACCTTGAGCCCCCAGGTTGCTGCGAACCGTGCCGCGGGAGGACTCACAGGCTTACCTCGGTTGAGGAATTTGTTTTTGGCGGCGCTGGGGAGCAAACCCAGGACCTTGTGCTTGCCAGGCAAGCACTTAGGCCACTGAGCTAGCTCCCTGGGCCCCCACGGGTTGACGTTGGCTAGGGGGATTAGTTATGCTCAGCTGTGTGTGTGTCATAGAGATAATTCCATGTAGGCTGCTCTTGCGAGGCCTATGACTAAAACTATGTTCTTAAGATATTTTATGACAACTAACATAATAAATTTCCAAACCTGTAACTGCACGATTTGCTAGTACAACCTGCTGTAGATGCTGCGCGGGGTGTGGCGCGCACACCTGTCATGCCGGCACTCCGGAGCTGAGGATCGCTGCAAGCTGGAGGCCAGCCTGGCCTGCACAGTGAGACCCAAAGCCGCAGTGAAAACAACTGCGGCATCGACGTCCCAGGAGCCTGCCTGCTAATTGCTGAAGCACGCATTTTAGAGACACCAGTGAGCCGCATGCACGGCCTTCACTGCTGTTCATGTGATTTCGGCACACAAGCCTTTCATTACAGCTATCATGGACTTGGAAATTGAAGTTTTCACGAGCATCCAGGCCCCACGGGCCCAGGCTCCAGGCCTCCAAGAGGAGGCAGCAGGCCTCTCGTGTTTCTAGCCGGATTCCTCCGCTGCTCACTGGGACGCAGCTACCACCAAGGTGTGGGAGGGCCAGCGCCCAGTGTAGTCACCTCCAGCGGCCGTGGGGTCGCCAGGGGCACTGGCCCCTGCCCTCCACTCCTTTGTCATCTACCTGGCTGCAGCCCGGCAGAGGCTTCTGGTCTACCCGTCCAGTGGTTGCTCTGCTGTCTCTTCTGGCTCTGGGCGGTCTTTCCCCAAGCCCCGCCTGCTCTGCGTCCTCACATCCTGGCCCAGCTCCCGGCTCTGACCCTCACCCTCAAAGCCCTCCTGTCCCCTGTGAGGTCCAAGGCAGCAGGCCCAGTGCGCATCACTTGGAGGCTTCTTGTGGGCATGACTCTGGAGCTAGGGTATCGCCTGCCCACAGCCCACCCACTGCTGGTCCCCCCCATTTGCCGCCCTGCTTGGTGAGATGCCGCTCCCAGGTGATGATCTTGCCTAAGTGGACCCCGAGGTCAGTGGCCGAACTAGCGGCCAGTGGCGCCCTGTCCTGCTCTCCCCTGCCCTCCAGTGTGCAGTCAGAGCCGCCCTGGGGCTGTGGGCGGAAGTGGCTGCCACCCGCTCTGCCACAGTCCTCACATCGCTGCGTCTGGGGCCGCAGGAGGGCCGCACTGCACTGCTGACCTGCAGCCGGCTCCCTGAACCTCTCCAGGGGACCAACCCGGCCAGGGTTGGAGCTTGCACTGGAGCCTGGAGTCTGCGGTTATCACCTCTTCTAGGCTGGGCAAGGCAGACAGGGTCTCAGCTCTGTGCACACCTCGCCCGGCACCCGCATCTGTCAAGTGTGTTAGGGGAGAACAGGGAGAAAGTGGCTCAGAGGCCTCTGGTCCAGGGGTGGTGTAGACAGAGGCTTGCAAACCAGCCATGCACCCTCACACACATGTGCACACGTGCGCGCACACACAGGCAAATGCACATATGCAAGGCAGGAGGCTGTGCGTGAGGGATGTGGTCAGTCACACATCAGCCCTGGTGATTTGCTGGCCAGAGGTGGGGAATCCAAGGCCCGATGAGCCAGGAACGCAGGTCTGGCTTTGCTTCCAGGCGAAGAGAGGGCAGCATCAGACCCAGGGCGGGTGACACTAGAAGCCAGGTGGGGGCTGAGGCCGGAACCAGGTACAAGAGGAAACCCAGGAAAGGTCAGATGAGTCTATACCTGTGCCCCTGCAGGACAGCTCTGCCCAACACAGCCCTTCTCCTAGTCGCAGGCCAACCTTGAACACATTGGGCAGCCTAGGCTGGCCTGGAACGCACAGCGATCCTCTTATCTCAGTGTCTTGAGTGCTGGGAAGACAGGTGTGCACCTCCACACCAGGTCAAGGGGGAAAATTTAAATGAACAGTTCTCAGGGGGAGGAATAGCAATGCATGAAAAAGAGAGGAACAAGAAATACAGGGGTAGGGGCTGGGGAGATGGCTCAGTGGAATAAGTGCTTCCCTGGTAAGTGCAAAGGCCTGAGTTCAATCCCTGGTTCCGCAGGAAGAAGCAAGAAGGAAATACAGGTAGAGAAGCGGCCCTAAAGAGCAGTTTAAGCTTGATGAGAGGCTGGGAGAGAGCCAGAAGAGTCTCATGACCTGCCGGGGGCACACAGCCCACTTGGTTGTCAGCAGGCCAGCTCATGGTCAGAGGTGAAAGGTACAGGGATGTGTCCCAACTGACTTTTTAAATGTGGAAACCTGGACACTGGAGGCTCTGATGGTTCATGCAGACTTGGGAGGAACCAGCGAGGATGGCTCTCGGGCTCCTGGACGGTGTTCCCACCCTGGCGAAGGAGCCCATCTGAGTCACAAACATGTACCTAACAAGGTGCCCTTGAGCATCCAGATTAAAGCAAGCGAACGAGCAACAACCACAAAAAAACGCTGTTGGCTTCCAAAGTTTCAGAAGCCATGAACCAATGTGGCAAGGGCCTCCCAGCCCTCACCACTGGATTGGGCTGCAGACAGGAGACTTACTTCTTGCTCTGGAGGGAGTGACCCAGAACATGGCCATCCAGGAGGCAGAGATGGATCGGACACAGAGGTTTCCCAAAGCAGAAGCTGCACAAACGCTACCACCACCACTGCCGCCGCTGCCACTGCCGCCGCTGCCACTGCCGAAGCCCCCAGGCCTCACCCTACACGGAATGCTTAGGCGAGAAAAGATTACCTGAAAGGTCGATTTTGTAAAAATCTTTTGGTGGTGCTGGCGACTGAACCCAAGACTCTCTTGCGAATTTGCTCAGGATGGGTTTGAACTTGCGATTCTCCTGCCTCAGCCGCTCAGGACAGGGGCTACACACACGCACACGGCACCATGCCTGGCTAGATCAAAACTTTAACCCAAGCATCACACATCTCTGTCACATTCCACTGGCTCTTTCAGACTGCGGTATATTTTCTTGCTCAGGTGTATGCACTCAGTTTCTTCCCTGGAGTTCAGGATAAGAAGTTTTACTGCAAAAGATACCAAAGGGATTCCTTCCTGCGCTGCACTAGACTGTACTTCTTTTAAATTTTATTTTGGGGAAGGGTCTAAAAAGGTGTTCAGGGTCTCACTACTAGATCAGAATCATAGTGATTCTCCTATTTACATCCTCCCAAGAGCTGGGATTACAGGCGCGCACCACCATGCCGTCTCAATTGCTGTTTTAGTGTGCCCTGGGGGCGGGACCAGCATGGCAGGCCCAGGGATTGAATCTCCAGCCCCTGTGCCTGCTTGCAGGCCCTTTAATCCGCTGAGCTGTTCTACTGGCCCCATATTTTGTTTTTTAAGCTCCTCAAGGTTTGTTCTTCTTTTCTTGAAAACATTAAGTCTCCACTCCAATCCTTCCACCCTCCTCCCCTTAATTAGCTTTAGAACCGGGCATAGAGATGCACCCCTGTAATCCCAGCCAGCACCTGGAACACTGAGGCAGGAGGATCGCTGCAAGTTCAATGCCAGCTTGGACTGCAGAGTGAGATACTTTTTCTTTTCTTTCTTTTTTTTGGCGGAACCAGGGATTGAACTCAGGCCCTTGCACTTGCCAGGCAAGTGCTTATTCTACTGAGCTATCTCCCTAGACCCGAGACTCTGTTTCAAAATCTGCAAAATAAAAATAATTTTAAAAAAGAAGTTAGCTTTATAATACAGACCTGCTTACCTTTAGGGCAAAACCAAAACAAAATAGCAGCCCACGGAGCTTACTGCGCTGCGAAGTCAGGGAGCCACGCAGGCTCTCCGGCGTAGAGAAGCCCACCTAACACCAGAGACGCAGGTGTGGCAGCTCAGGCAGGATGAGACACCAGAGCTTCAAAGGCTTGCTCTGCATTCTGTCCACCTGATCCCTGCCCTGCTGTGCGGGTCTGAGCTGATCAGCTGGAGCTGGCCCGGAGCAGAGGAGAGCTCAGCTGAGCCACGCAGGACGAGGCGGCCAGGAAACTACGCTGCAACAGCCGAGGCATACAATTTATTTCACTAGACTGCAATTTTATACACAGGATGAAGGGGGTCCGGATAGCACATACAGAGGTTACCGTCTGGACTGAGGAAGGCCCAATTGTTTTTACATGATATCAGAATAGCCTATCATTAAAACATTATTCAGTGAATTTTTTTCCCAACTACATATAAATGGAGATTTACCACACGCACGGTGCAAGAATGTCTTCATAACATAGCTGAGTCACAAAATGTGAATCTAAGATACATCTGTCATTAGGACACTACTTTAAAAGTACCGTGCCACGGGCGCAGTGGCCGGATTGGGTTAATCTTTGCCTGAACTGAGCGGTTTGGTGCTGACCTCCTGGGTACCTGGCTGCAGCTTTTCACCCTGATTTCAAAAGAAATCTTTCATTAAGAAGCCAAATTTCACAATTTTAAAACACCTCCCCTCGTGTTCAATTCTCAAAAACGGGACATTGTAAAATGCATCGTCTTTAAAACGAGAAGAAACCCAAGCCTCCCGCAGCGGGAGGGCTGGGGTTGTGATATAAGGTTTCGTAGAAATCTAAGAAAGTGAAAATGAACGACAAAGAAATGGAACACTTGCTTTAGAGCCGCTGGGGTTCCTCTGCCCCTCCCGGCTCTGGCAGGAGCACGGCTGCGTGGAGAGCTGCATCTCCGGAAACACTGTCCCCGAGTCACAGAGCGAGGTCGTTCGCTCCCCCGTCTGGTGGCGCAGCAGGCAGCGGGGTGCGGGTCAGTTACGGAGAAGCAGAACCGCCAGCCAGGAGCTGTGCCACACACGCACGGGCTCGGGAGCTCGCTGGACGCGTCTCCTGGCTCCAGGCCTTGCTTCAAAGTCTGAGAATGTTTGAAAAGTTCAATAAATAGTAGAAAAATAATCCTTTCCTTAGAAATTTTGAGATGCATTGTTGCAGCTTGGCATGAGTTCCACACAGCGATCATGGTCTCCAGGGGCTGCAGGGACTCACAGCTGGGTCTGGGGTAGTGACAGCTAGTGCCCAGGGTCTCTGTCACTCTCCCCTCGACCAGTGACAGAGCCCAGGCCAGCTCCGGGGAATGCACCTTGGCCTCGGCCCTGACCCCTTCGGAGCTCTGCCTTCTGCTCTGTCCATGAGCACAGCGAGGGCCACTCATCAGCCCACCCTGCGGCCTCATCCACGTCCTCTGGTCCACGCCAGGAAGTGGAGTGGGGTCCCTGCTCTGGCCCAGCTCACATGCCACAGCTCTTGCTGTGGGTCTCATGTTGTCCCCCGTGCCCACTGAGGTCAGCACTCTGCGTCCACGGTGTGCACGGTCACAGCTGCCTGCAGGCAGTGGCTGTGGTGCGGGTGGCAGTGGTGGAACTTGTGGCTCAGGAGGGCTGCGGTCTGTGGCGGGGCGTCCAGGTCCAGGTCCTCGTCGTGGTTGCCGACATCCACCCCTGCAGACAGGGGGTCGTTGTTGCATGGTGGGTTCTCACTGTCCTCCTGGGGGCTCATGGTGCTGTACCCTAGGAGATGGCAGAGGGGTTTGCGGTGAGCGGAGTGGCAGCGGAGGAAGGCCTGACTCTGTGCCACACAGGCGCACACGCTGGTGCGTGTCAGTGCATGCCACGGCTGCTTCATTTTAGAGCTCTAACACCAAGAGGTTTTTCTAAAAACAGCTACATCATAAATGCATAAATTTTGTTTTTTAAAATTTTTATTATTAATTTTTTTGTGTAACCAGGGATTGAACTCAGGCCCTTATTCTTGCCAGGCAAGCACTTATTCTACTGAGCTATCTTCCCCGCCCCTGTGTTTTGTTTTTTGAGACAGGGTCTCACGACGTAGCCCAAGCTGGCCTAGAACTCCTGGGGAGCTTCCTGCCTCAGCCTCCCCAGCGCCGAGATCACAGGTGTGTGGCATCCTATCTGCCTGCACAGTCATGTCAGGTGACCAAGGAAGGATGGAGAAAAACAAAAGAAAAAGAAGCCCTCCCTCCAGATCCCCAAGCCAACAGAACTTGGAAACCGGAAATACCCTCCCTGGCCCCGCTGCCCTCAGATAAGCAGGCCTGCTTCCTTGGACCCGCTGCCTGGAATCAGAATTTGAGATTTTTCTTTATCTGAAAAGAAATCAGAGTCGGCAATAGTCATGGGCCAGCGAAGGCACAGAGCAGGATGGGCCTGCAGCGAGGCCAGGTGCTGGACACAGCCCGAGGCCACTGTGGCCCTCCCCGCTCCCACATTGCCACAAGGCAGTAGTGTAGTCTGCCTTGCAAGGAGGGGAGTAAGCAGTGGAACTGGGGGTGTGGAGGATGGTGACGCCTGACAGCTGTCACTTAGCCACACGGTGCGGGTTTCTCAGGCCCCGAGATCCAAACCTGGTCCTGTGGGAGGACAGGCTGTGCATGTGAGAAATACAGCCAAGCACAGGCCACTCAAGGATACGTGGCTGCGGGCCACGTAAACAGTACCCTCCCTCCCGTGGCCTGGCCACAGACACGGGCTGATGCTCACAGAATGGCCATCAGAGCCTGGGGTTCACCGCAAGGCTGATTCTAGTGGGAGAAGCAGCCTCACAGGCTCCCACTTCAGCGGTCTTCTGTGCAGGGACAGGAGTGTGAGTGGTGGGCAGAGCAGAAGAGCAGGGTGGCCCTGGGTGGGCAGGCAGGCATGTGGAGAGGGAGGCCACCAGAGGCTGCAGGGTGGGGTGTGGAGGTGTGGCCTTCGGTGCAGTGTGTCAGGGTGGGACGTCCTTGGAGGTCTGTGTTTTGGGGTTAGGGCCTGGGACGCAGTGACACCATTGCCTAGTGTGGAGAGGTGGCAACCAGAGATGTGTGGCGGTGTGAAGCCTAGGACTCAAGCACGGCTACAGGCTCTCAGCCCTCAGTGACCACACGCAGGTACAGCTGAGCCCACTCCAAAGCAGCACTGTGCTGAGTGGCTAAGGGGCCAAGCATGGACTCGAACTTGGGATCCTCCTGCCTCAGCCTCCAGCGTGCCAGGATCCCAGGTGTACACCACTGGGCCCGGCATTCGGTGAGTCTCTGTGCCGCTGTCTTGGCGGCCTTGCCTGACAGTGGCCCTTCCTCTTATTTAATGAGAAAGCCACGCAGTGCTCCCAGGCCTGGCCCTGACTCGTGGCTGCGGGGTGGGTGGATGGGGGCTCGGAGTGGGTCTCCACTGGCCCTGGGGCCGCTCTGCTGGGATGGGGGCACTCTGCTCCTCAAGGAGAACTCCAGCGGGGATCCCCCGAAGCCAACCCTTGTTCCACGGCAGTTCCACTCAATTTCCCTGTGGTGAGGCCGGTGCAGCCTCGTGATTTCAAACTCTCTCGCAATCCAGGTCTGGAGGGTGGAGCAGGGGCGGCAGGGCGTACGCAGAAGGACAGACGCATTTTCTCACTGGCTCCTCCACGCGCTGGCTGCTCAACCGAGGGGAGGACGTGCTGCGGAAACACGGAGCTCTGCTGACACTGTCAAAGGCATATGGAGAGGATCTGAGGCAGAAACCGGCTCCAGGAAGGAGGCCAGACGTCCATAAAGGGGGACAGAGCTCGGATCAGGCATTTGCGCTTTGGCTTTCTACTTGTTTCTCTTTATTTATCTGACGGTTGCTAGGAAACCAGCAAGTGCCCTCTGGTCCCTCCCGGGACTCCCGCACCATCTAGTGGCCATGCCGAGTAATTGCAGGCGGATTGGCTCTTACCCCTCCTTCAGGCTCTTCGAGACGGGCCCAGAGGCAGGGGAAACTGCCCTTCTAGCTCAGCATGGCGTGCAGAGCCCTCTGATCCCGCGCGCTGCCCTGCCTGGGATTGTAGGCCGGCGCCCCCACATGTGCTTAAAAACTGGCCGGTGGTTGAGAGCACACAGGACATTTTCAAGAGAAACACCAGGCAAACAGGCAAAGGGGCTGATGCAGTTACTGCCTGGTGGGGGAACCCAGCAGGATCCCAGCTCGGTGAGGGCAGGGAGGGAAGAAAAGGAAACAAAGGGGACGCGCGGCTGCGGATGACAGACATGAGCGCTGTTTCCTTGCGCATTCCTTGCAGTGCCCGGATGGAACCCGGGCCTTGCGCATGCTGGGCGAGCCCTTCACCACGCTTCGCAGCCCCAGCGGCTTGTTTTCTAAGATGCCAAAGTTCAAATTAGATTCCTTTAAAACACAAAATGCTACTTCAGCCTGTAGTTTCTACACTGAGCTTGGTGACCTTTGGCTTTAATTCTGGGGACATCAGCACCTGGGCCTTATGGGCGCTCTGTTCACACATTTCAGCTGCTTCTGCACGTCACAAGCAAGCGCTCCGGGGAAAGCCTCTCGGGCGCCGCAGTCCTATCAGATCCAGCCCGGCTTCCGGCGATAGCGAGCACCTGCTCCTGCTGGTCTACTCCGAGTAAGCTGGCGTAATTTGCCTGAGGCCAGGATCGGAATCCTGCCTTTGCTTGGGGTTTCCTCCTGGACTAGAAATTCCTCCAGAGTGGAGCAGCAGGACGGCAGAGGTGAACCCAGGGCTCCAGGCCTTACACTATTTCCTTTAGTCCTCTTGAATTTATTATGGAAGACTTTTTTTTTTTTTTTGTCTTTTTGAGGCAGGGTCTCCATACGCAGTTCTCACTGGCCTTGAGCTCACTTTGTAGCTGAGGCTGGTCTTGAACTCACAATTGTCCTGCCTCAGCCTCCCAAGTGCTGGGATTCCACAGGCATGCACCACCATGCCTGGCAATGGAGGACTTTTTAATCCATTTATTTTGTGATATTATTTCATTTTATTTTTTTTTCTGCAAAGCTTTATTCCGGAGGGGCTCAGTCCTTCTTGGCAGCTGCCTTCCTCATGGCGGCCAGCACGTTGCTCAGCTCCTCACGCTTCCTCTTGGCTCCGATGTGCGTCCCCACCCTTTTCTTGATGAACTTGAGGGTGCGCTTGTCCTTGGAGACCTTGAGCAGCTCCATGGCAGAGCGCTCGCTCGTAGGGGGCGAAGCCGCACACCTCCCGGATCACGTCCCACACAAAGTTGGTGTGTTTGGTGAGGCGTCCGGGACAGCAGCTGTGCCTCGGTTTGCTCACATTCTTAGTCACCTTGTGGCCTTTGCTGAAGCCCACAGCCATGGGATAGCGGAGGGCCATGATAACGGTTCTTCAACGGTTGTTGGGGCGGAACTATTTTGTGACATTATTGGGGAATCAACCCCAATATTATTTTCGATAGTATGGGGACCTTTGCACTGAGCTACACTCCCAACTCCCTTTATTTTTTATTTCTGAGACAGGGTCTCATTAAGTCACGAGGATGTCCGGGCTGGGCTCAAACTTATGATCCTCTTGCCTCACTTCCTAGAGTGCTGGGATTACAGGCCTGTGGCACCCACAGCCAACTTCTTACACTTTTACGTGTCTGGAAGCTGAAGTCCAAAGTAATTCACTATGGTCTCAAGAACTTGCTAAAAACAAAAAACAAAAAACAAAGCACCGGGGCATAGTGGCACACGCCTGCAATCCCAGCACTCAGGAGGCTGAGGCAGGAAGATCAGTGTGAGGGCAAGACCAGCCTAGGCTGCAAGTGAGCTCAAGGCCAGCCTGAACTGCATAGCAAGACCCTGTCTTAAAAAGACAAAATCAAAACCAAACCAAACCCGAGGGTGCTGGAGTTCACTCCAGGGGGCTTGGCCTGTCTCTGGAAGTCCTGCCTTGCATCTCCCTGCCTGGATGAAATGACAAGCCTCTCATCTCTGGTCCCTGCACAGAGCTTACACACGCCTCGGTCTCCACCCAGGAGCATATGCCACTGGGCAGCCTTCCTTCTGACCCTGTGTGTGCCACTTATTCTCTCAGAGTCACAGGGCACTACTTTGGTGCCACCCCTCCAGGACCCACCCTGCAGGTACACGGAGCTGACCACAGGAGGCGGCTCCCTGTGCGCACACTTGGAGTGTGCCACACCAGGGCTCCCACTTCCCCTGGCGTCTGCGTGAACAGTCCCACTCCACAAGGACAACAGGAAGGCAATTACTGCGAAAACCAAGTCCCATCCCTGGGCCAGAGCTCGGTGTTCAGACACGGCCCGATACTTTCGTCTCAGCCTTGCTCCGCCGCATGCCAGAACCAGGAGCCCACTCAGAACCCCAGCCTGGCACTGATGTGCTGGGGGGGGATTCAGTCCTCCTCTGCATGCGAAATGATTTCTGCTGAACTTTAGTAGCCCTGACCTGTTTTATCATTCAGAGAAGCAGGCGCTCCTGGCTGAAGGAACCCGTGCAGGTTCAAAGGGTTGTTTTGGGGAAAAAAGCTAAGAGGACAAGAAATTAAAAAATTTAAGCTCTGCATGGGCTTTCCATAGAGATGTGCAGGCTGCACAGCCCAGGGAAGACTCGCTTCGTTGCAGACTCCGCCGCTCCTACCTCCTACAGGGAGCCCCAGCCTGGCAGCCGGCTGCCTGCGCTTTCAGGATGGGGCGACAGAGCCGACTCCAAAGGCTTAAGGACGTCGTTTATGCATGCAGGACAGGGCCTGGCTCTGGGAGGAAAACAACCACTTCTGGAACATTTGATTGCTGGCTTAAACAGCAGAAAGCTCTGTGGGACAGGGGCACTGGTGGTCATGGCCAGGAGACATCTGCAATCCTCTGTGACCCGAGCAGGTGACAGGTTGTGGGTCAGGACAGGGGCTTCTGCTCTCAGGCCACGCGGCCTGCCTGTCCTGCTGCGCTCTGTGGAGCCCCGCAACTCATGCACAGAGCTGCTGTCACTGCTAACATCCGGGGTTCCTGGGCTCTCCACCTGTGACCCCAGCTCCCGGGAGGCGAGGCGGGAGATCGAGGTGAGTTTGAGGACAGCCTGTGCGACATCGTGACCTGACCCCAGTCCTTTCAAGGCTCAGTGATGTTTCCCCAGCAGGGTCTCCTGTGTCTCCAGGACAGAGCCGAGATGGGGGGAGCAAAATGCCAGAGGGCAGCGCAGCGTGGCCGCTTGTGGGTCCCCAAGAGCACATGTCTGGGGGTCCAACTCGGGTGTGCGTCGCTTTGAGACATGATCTGGTCTCCGGCTTGCTGTCCTCCTGCCTTAGCCTCTCATAGCCCATACCCTAGTGGGATGGCTCTAATGTCACCTCAGATGGCAGGACCAAGAGGAGAGAGGAGGCAGTGGAGACTGTGTGGTCCATGTGACCCTAAAGAAGACCCCCCCCCAAAAAAAAGGGGGCCGGGAAGATGGCTAATGGAATAAACACTTCCTTGGCAAGCGCAAGGGCCTGAGTTCAATCCCTGGTTCCGCCAAAAAAAAAAAAAAAAAAAAAAAAAAAAAAAAAAAAAAAAAAAAAAAAAAAAAAAAAAAAAAAAAAAAAAAAAAAAAAAAAGAGAAGACCCCAAAGCCACCTGTACAGCAGGGCACCTGGCTCAGGCCCAGGGGCTGGGAGGTGGTTACTGGACACACGGGGGCTGAGGTGGTGAGCACCCACCTAGGGTGGCCCAGCCCTGTCTGTGCTCTGAGCGGAGGCCCAGCTTACCGTGGTCGCTTTCTGTCCCTGACCGGCCCCAGTAGCGCCGCCTCCTCTCGGGGCTGTGTGCATGGCGCTCGATGACCGCGGCTATGAAGCGTGTGTTGCTGACTGTGGGAACAAGAACAGGGAGTCACGCTGCGGTGGGGACACCACTGCGCCTGCGCCCAGCCTTCTGCGGCAAGCTGGCCACTTTTCATCCGGGAACTGTCTTTACCCCTTGTTGTCCCTGCCGGTTAAGGACGAAGATAAACCCATCTGTGTGGGACAGGAGCGAGGCCCAGAGGGGGAGAGGGCGTGGCACTCAGGCAGGGCACTCGATGCCACGGAGAATAAGAAGGCCAAGTCCTGCGATTTTCTAAAACAAAGCAAAGCCCTCCTCTGTTCCACGAGTTGAGGCTTCCTAAACTTTAACACGTGCTGGAAGGACGGGAGGCAGAAGAGCTATTTGGGGCCTGCGCTGCGGTGGTGGCGGGAGGCGCTGGATACTCACTGATGCCCCTGTCCTCATGGCTGTCCTCGTCCCTTTCATCCCTGTCGTTCTCCAGGTTGGACATCCGCACTGACATTTCTACCGGGAAGCAGAGAACCACGACTGTTTAATCGCAGGGAACCGTCACCGGTGCCGGCAACAGTGTCCCGGGGAGCTGCTCACGGAGGGGCGCACCAGGCCCAGGCTCTGGCAGAGCCCAACCCAGAGTGAACCACGAGGGGCGACCGGCTGGTGCCCCCGCCTGACTTTACAGAGGAGCAGCAGGAAAGCCAAGGGCGCCTGGAGCTGGCGTCTAAGCACAGTGAAAGAGAACGCGCAGCAGACCAGATACAGAGGATGGGCGGACGGGGTGTGCCTGGGTGGGGTGCGGGTGGCTGCTGGAGCCCCGCCCCAGGCGGTCTGTCGCAGCTGCCTCAGCTCGGCACTGAGCCAGGTGAGCCGTGGCCGTGGAGGGCTGCCGTCACAGCGAGACCTCATGCCCGAGGAAGCTGGCTCCGCCCATCTCCAGGGCCGCTGGCAGTGCTGGGCTTCTGGGAGGCCACCCCTTGCACACATGGGACCTTTGCCCTGGCCACTGGCCTCCAGCACATGTGAGCACAGGTGAACATTGTGGCAGGGACAGCGAGGGCAGTGCAAGGGACATGTGGGTTCCCACGCAGTGCAGCCCACTGGCTCAGGGCGGATGGGGCCCCAGGGTGCAGTGGAGCCAGGCAGAGGAAGAGACCGAGGGGTTCCCAGTTCAGCAAAGGGTGAGTGGGCTTCACATGGTGAAGAAAGGCTGTGGGGCCCCTGGGCCGACGCAGCCAAGCGGAGGAGGCAGGCTGATCTCATCTTTCTTTTGCTTTTCTGTTTGCTTGCTTGTTTTGCTGTCTGGTAAAAGGTCTTGCTATGTCGTTCAGGCTGGGATCCTCCTGCCTCAGCCTCCTGAGCACTGGGATTACAGACGTGCGCTCCCATGCCCTGCTGCTAATGCCTCTTAGAAGTGTGAATGACTACTGGCAAATGTCCTTCTCGCCTTGGGACAACCCAGGGGAGACTGCTACCTCCCAGGGAGGGTCGGGGTGGGACCCGGGCCCGCGCTGCACACACCTTGGGCTGCGAGGGGCGACATGTGCTGGTGGCTTCGGCGGTGGATCTGGTGGCGGTAGGCGTACACGGCCAGGACCAGCACCATGATGCAGCCCATTATCCCTCCGGCCACGGGGCCCACGGGCGCGCTCTTGATCATGTTCAGTGTGATCACCTCGTCACCTTTGGCAGATACAGACCTCCGCGTTACGACTGTGCATGCGGAGGGAGGGGCGCGAAGGGGCGCAGGGGCAGCCGTGGGGGCTCCGTGCAGCTCCTGGTCCCCGACAGCAATCTAGCCGCCAGTGAGCAGATGGAGTTGCTTTGTGCCCCGGGGCCTAAGGTCCCAGGCAGGAACAGCTCTTGGAGGAGGGGACGGGTGTCTGGGTGCTGTCGCCTGCCGAAATGAGGGCCACAGGAACCCTCAGGGTCTGTCAAACTGACTCAAGCATGCGGACTCCCTCTCCGCACAGGGGCTGTCACCAGGAGAATGGCGCAGGTGGCAAGAAGGGGCAGGCAGAGTAAGGGCCTGATTTCTATACCCTGTGGTGAGATGCTGGGGCCGCTCTCTTAGATGTAGGGACAGAGCCATGGCTGGCAGCTGCTGGGACCCCACACGGACGCTGCCAAGCTGTGCAGCACACTGAGGCATCTGGTGGTTTGGGGGTCCCCATGCACCTGACAACACGGCATGGCTGGCAAGGAGCTGAAGGCCGCTAAGGCCGGCACTGTGCTCCTTGTGTGAAGTCACGGAGAGCACCTCACGAAGGCCCAGTTGCGTGGCCTTGGTGCCTGTCCCCACCCGCAGCCCAGTAGGGCTGGCATCCACGCACCTGAGCCCCTCAGCCTGGATGGTGACCATTGGCCTTGGTTTTCAAATGAAAGACCTTGAGCTAAGAAGCCCAGGGAGTCAGACAGAGGACTCCTGGAGCCTTCTGTCCTGGGCATGGGCAGGATGCATGTGGGTCAGGAGTGGAGCTCTTTGGGCCCCCAGTGAACGCACCTATGGCACCCAGGTCGTCCACGTAGGGGCTCTTGGCCCCCACGATACCCCCGAAGCACTCCCTCTGAGGCGCACAGTAGGACTTGTCCAGGTGGGTCTTGCCGTCGCTGTCCACCACACACCACTCGCAGTCCAGCACCCCAAAACAGTCCCTGCCGGAGACAACGTGTGTGTTCCTGAGGGCAGGGCGCTGAGCCCTCAGCCTGGGATTCTGGGGCACAGCTTCCCAGTGAGGTAACACTGCTCTTTGCGATTAGACACTGACGTCCACACCAGGGAGAAATGAGCACTGTCCAAAATCACTTAATGCACTCAAAGGGAGCAGCCCCAAGGTCTGTGGGCCACTGGCCTCACGGCCCTGCGTGTGCGGACGTGCTTGCACAAAGGAAGGTGAGGATAGCCAGGTCAGCCCAGGAACACTGGGAGATGCCAAATCGCCAGCCTCCCAGTGTTTAATGTGTCCTGGCCACAGTCCCCGGGGCGATGTTTTCCTGCTAAAGAACACGCCAAACTAGGTGTGGTGGTATGTGCTTGCAATCTCAGCATGCAGGAGGCTGAGGCAGAGAGATCCTGGAATCTGACACCAGCCCAAATTACACAGCGAACCCTGTCTCAAACAACAGGAACACACCAGGAGGTCTGGCTCTCCCGCTTCTTGTACTCCACTTCATCAAGACATGGAAACCCAGACCTGAAAGGCCTGGACTGAGAGTACAGTGGGGCACACCGCCTGCCCCTGCCCACTGCTCACCCGCTTTCCAGCCTCTGGCTGCATCTGCTGTTGACGCACTGGTGCAGGGCGTCCTGCAGGCTAGGGTCGATGGCTGTGTATGTCACTGGCTCCTGGTGGACCTCGCAGCTTGGGTTCCTGTATGGGAAGCGAGGCCCGGGTCAGGTGTGACCTCATGCTGCGGTTCTGGCGCTCTCGGGGGCCTGGTACCAGCCACCTGGCTCCTCTGTGCCCGGCTCATCGTGCAAACGTGTATGCGGATTCCTTAACTCAATGTGACGGCAGCATGCAGGACCGAGCACCGGTTCCTGCTCAGCCCGTGCTCCTAGGTGCCCGCGACCCGCAGCAGCACGGGCCTGCGGACCTCTGTTCTACGCCTCAACAGACTTACGCCTTGTCCACACACGGCGCTCTCTGTAAGTTCTAGGGAAAGTTTTTTTTTTTTTTTGGGGGGGGAACCAGGGATTGAACTCAGTCCCCTGCGCTTGCCAGGCAAGCACTTATTCCACTGAGCCATCTCCCTGGCCCCTGTTCTACGGAAGGAATAGCACAGAGCGATTTATCTCACAGCTCTTGACTTTATAAGCGATGCCGTGTCACGTGTTAGGTTTCTGTGTGCTTATCACAAAAGAAAGTGAGAAGTATGGTGTCTTGTGAATGCTTGTGATGCCCTTGTTTGTATGGGTGTGCAACACATACACTCTCAATGTCTATTGCATTTAAATTTAAACTCACAGCTTGCAACCTTTGACCTCTGGCCAGTGAACAGGCCCACCCATGGAAGGAAGGGTTTGCTGCGCATCTCCCAGCTCGGCCTGAGGCGTGCACAGTAGTTTTGTTTGTGTGCAGGTATGAATGCAAGGGACTGCATGTACACACACACACACACACACACACACACACACACACGCTTGCCTACCGGTTCTCTGCATTGGTGAGGTTGCCGGTGCACTCGTTGACCTCCAGGGGACATTCACAAGGGCATTCGCACTCATTTTGTTCCATCCTGGAAAGCAAGAGGTTTCAAGGCAGAGTCCATGTCCCCTGCACGTGCACCAGGGATGTAGAACAACTGACGTCAAAACAACGACGTCAGGGGAAAGGCTTAAATGCACAGTGGGCCTGTCCCCGTCCTGTGGGTGGCAGGATACAGCAGACATCCGGCCTGGACCTCCCTGCAGGGGGACCCTCTTGCCCTCGGACGTCCCGCCTGTCCTGGGCATGCTATGGAGGCCCTTGTAGGGCCCAGCTAAGCTTGGGGCCAGTGCCACCCCATGCCACTTTACCGGTGACAGTTGAGACAGAGCCGGTCCACCATGCTGCATGCACAGAAGGCGAGCGAGTCGCACGTCTCGTTGACGATGCCGACGAATGCGTTGGTGCCCGGGATCCTCGCCAGCCTGTATTTGGAGCAGTGGCTGCCATGTACAAGGTTGGTCAGGTCCCCCTGCAGGACGGGAAGGTGTCAGGGTGACAGCAGGACACAGGGGCAGCCCCAAACCTGCAAGCAATGTCCGAAAACGGCCTCAGGAAACTGTTCCTGATGACAGAAGTGGCATCTGGTCCTTGCTGAGGACAAAGTGCTCCTAGCCCAGGGATCAGAGGTCACTCCTGTTAACTGTGGATGTGTTCTATATCATTTTGGCTAGGCTTACACAAATGTACATTTTTATAGCTGATTCCTTTTATAAGCTGCTTTGGAAAAACCTAACCATGTATCATCAAAATGAAAACTTGAAGGAGTGAAAGATAATTTCCAGGTAGGGAACAGTTTAACTTCACTCGAAGACCAGTTTAACCACGAGGCACGCGCTGCTTTTCCTTGGTTAGTAACCTGTCTCCTTCCGGAATGCCAGAACTACTTGAAAGCCAAAGCCTCCGTCAGGGGCTCACGCCCTGCTCCCAGAATACTCCAACAATCCAACGACAGCAGGTGTCCTTTGGCTTCATCCTGCAACAAGGGAAGGCGACAGCCAGCCTCCTGCCAGTTTGCTCACTGTGTGAGGAAGCCAAAGATTCAAGGCAGTGCTGTGATGTGCTGTCGCGACACCTTTCACATACGTCATGTGTGCTGGAGAAACTGTGTCGCCCGCTGCGAGGTCTGAGCTGTTGAGCTCCTGTGTGGACGCTGAGGCGGAGACATCAGACCCTGGGAGCCGCCTGCGGCATCCGACGGGTGCTCTCTGCAGTCCAGTCTCGTGTCGAGGCCTTGCAGGCTGTTAGGAAATTCTTTTAATTCAGATTCAGCCAAGCCTGTCTTGCTGAAGCATTTCTGCTGCAACAGCCTGGTTTTGTTGGCTGGAGACTCCAAAAACGGCACAAGGAGCGATGAGAAAAGCCCACCAGCTCCCCTCATGCTTCCAGTGCACTCGGCCCATCAGGTTCCTGCTGCTTGCTTCTTTTTTTAAATGTATGTATTTGGTATAGGGTCTCACTGTGCAGCTTGGACTTGTAGTGATCCTCCTGTGTTCAGCCTCCCCAGCCCTGAGATTACAGGCGTGCACCACCACGCCTGGGCTTGGTGGCCGGCTCAGCATGTGGATTGAACCCTAGGCCCTGTGCTTGCCTAAGTAGGCGCTTAGTCCGCTGAGCTATCTCACCGGTCCTTCACCCGGAGAACAAGTGGACACAGACACCGTTGTATGTTTACCAGCCTGCCCTCATGGCCCTGAGCAGCAGCGTTCATTGCATTTTTTTTTTT